AAAAAAAAAAAAAAAAAAAAAAAGAGAAAAAGAAAAAGAGATTATCAGAGATCCTTTAATCACAACTTTCACGCTTCGAAATTCGAAAGTTTCTTTATGCCGATCCTAGATCATTCGTCCGCGATTACACTGCTCTCTCTACACTGCTCTCTCCCTGATTGCATTCCCGCGGGCCGCGATCCTGGCACACAGTACTATGTTCTTTTATACGATTCTAACAGGCACCGATTACGGACCTCCAAGACCAGGAAGTGTTCCTCCTGCCCCAGGAACCAACGACAACTGCAGCGGCGGTGGACCCCAAAAGGGTTACGCAGGACCCTCCAACAATTACCATCCTTATCGTCGCTAGAGATACGATGGACTCGAACACGAGTCGAGTCCTCGCCGTGTTTTGCGCGCGACGAGATCTCGCTTCTCCCTTTTCTTCGTCACATCATACGCGTCGCGTATAACACGTTGCGGACCGGATGACCTTCCCCACTTTTTACGAAACGCGTTAGAATAATCCGGTCAGCCGTTTGTTCCGCAACGTGTTCACGCGTGTGCTCGCCACGAACGTGTTTTGATGCGTTTGCACGCGACCGATTAAATACCCGTTCGTTCTCCATTTATCGATTAAATTCCACGATTTAATTCCACTACCGGTCAGTAAAAAGTAGATTGTGAACGTTGAAATTTTTAGGTACCGAAGAAATTAAAGAAACAGAATTCAAACTTCTCTTCTCTCTTCGGGCACCTTACATATTTTTGGAGACTACCAGTTTTCTATCGATTGACGAAAGACCCGTAGTAACAAACGAACGTGCATTTAATCGAAGTGGGAAGCGTGGGGAATAAATATTCGTCCCCACGTTAAGCGCACCATTGCGAATATCGTCGAAATGAATATTAGCAATTCAGTTTTGTTCGGATATTCCAATCGAGTGAGAACGCATCTTTACACGACACTTGCATATCACGCGTGTATATGTACGCTTGTGTATGGGAGCGAGTATGCATGGCAACGAGAAAATAAGAACCGTCTCTCGAACTCGGCTCGAGAGGAATGGTATATGGGCCACGATTTTTCGAGAATGGAACGGTGAATGTTTGCACCTTTGCCTGTGTTCTCTTTTGTAATTCGAAGAGCAACGAAGGACCATCAGCCGTGGAGTGAAAGAAGAAAATAGTATCGTTAGGAGGAAGACAACAGGGTACTCGAGAGCACCAAGGACCAATTACTTATACTCGAACTTATGACGAACGCCAGCTTCAAACTGGACGCAAAGAAGATTTTATTCGATGACGTTGCGTCGAACTGTTTCAACGCAATATAATTCTATATAAACTATAAGCTTACGTACCTTTAAGAAGAAACCAAGAAAATTGGTTTTCGGCTGAACGCTGATTGTTTCTTTTTTTTTTTTTTTTTTTTCCATTTTCCAAAGGGAAACTCGATGAAACTAAAATTCCCCTCTGTTTCCCTTTCTGTTTCGCGGAGAATAATGGGGGTAAGATGGCTCGACGCAGGATCCAAGCGAAAATAGATATTTCTAATCGTTAAGAAGATTCGCAGCAAACTTCGTTCATCGATTCGTCCGCCGCGGGCGCTGTGAGATTTAGATGTAAGGATTTTTAACTTCGCCTTAGGATTAATAATCAGGAAGCGACTAAGTACTTTACGAACGTGACTTAATTCATTTTTCTCTTTAATGCCGTCTTCTTCTTTTTCGCACCCACCCCTTTGTTTAGTTGGGAAACGTCGGGAAATCATTTTAAGTCACGACGAGAACGTAGCTTATACATCTTTTCGCGACGAATCATTCTACAAAGAGACACGTACAGAATGATTTTGTTCTCCTTTTTTAATTTAGTAGATTCGACCGATGATTTGCAAAATAAAAAAAAAAAAAAAAAAAGAAAGAAATAAAAAAATTTTGTTTCAAAGATCGACAAGAAGCCTAATCCTTTGTTTTTTTCAATTTCTGCCGTAGGAAGTTTATTTCCTAGACGTCCTTTTCATTTTCCTGACTGGATGACGCGAGGCTTGTGGACTTGAGGTAAAAGAACCGGAAACGCGCGTCTAGCCGCGGTTGCCGCTTAACGGGCCGCGATAATTAAGGGTTAATTTTTTTCACATTTAATTTAAATAATCACATTGATCCTTTTGTCCTTGATTCAATCTTTTATCTCCTTTTTTTTCCTTTTTCTTGCGTTTTTTTTGCATCTGTACTGTTCCATTTCTCGTATCTGTTGTATATTTGCTTTTGAGTATTATATTTAGAGTCCCTTCTTTCTTTCGCTTCGAGAATTCACAGATTATATAAATATATTTACATATGTATATATAAATATATATACGTATATAAATATATTTGCGTATCTATATTATTATTATTATTACTACTACTAGTAATATAGATATATATTAATAGTATATCGAGCGAACGAAACGTGAATTATTCTCTGCGTGAACACACACAGTGTTATTAAGAATAATCCCGCTCCCCTTCCAACTCTCGTGGATTTCGATATATATATATATATATTACGCGTGTAATTATGAGGTTAAAGTATAGTTTCATGCGTTACGACGAAAGCGATATACAAAGCTACAGGAAGAATGTACATATGTATTTTTCACGATTCGAGAATAAGATGTACACACAGTACGAAAGGGGCTAAACCGAATTGAAACGATGAAATTTATACCGCGTAGCTAATTGCCATGCGTTCTGTGCGAGCCAGCAGCTTCGTCCGACAATTTAGAGTAATTTAACGCAATTAAAATAAGTAGTAGACATCGTTATTTACGTTAAGCGCCGTTCACAATGGATATATACTTGTATTTATTGATTGTATACACTTGCGAGACTGGCTGTATATTTTCGTACGACTTCGGGACATTAACTACCGTAAGAAACGAGGACGTTGAAGAGAACGTTTCTCTCGATGTGTCCGCGTTCTTGTTCTCGCCACGACAGAGGATACAGACAACAAAGAGCGAAAGAGAGAGAATAAGAATAAAAAAAAAAGATGTCAGACACCATTGCGCATCCTATCATTGGAACACAATTACACGTACTTGCTCGCAATGGTGGTCACTTTCCTCTTCTCGTATATGGGTGTTCGAACGTGCGGTAAACACAAACTGACAACGGAGAAGCTAATATATTAGGAGAAGCCACGATAAAGCCACGAGTTATATAGCGATTCTTATTGTAACAATAACGATTAATTAATTAATTGCCGGTTAGCACTTACTTGTAATGTTAAGGGTTAGGAAGTCCGACGTTTTTATTTATACCCTCCCTCCTCCCCCTCCTCCCACACCCACCCGCCCGGTTAAACGTACAGTTTGTACAATTCTCGATACGATAGACGATTATGAATAACAATTAATTGCCGTTGACGAGCCCAGATAGTTTGCATTATCGTCGCCGATAATTATAACGACGTAAGTAATTATGACGACGATAACGAAAAGATGACGATCGGATATCGTTCGTAATATTTTGTTATATATTTGCGAGGGCGGAAACAGCAAGAAATGCATTCTTTTATAGTATAGAAGCAAATGAATATTCCATATGGATTAATAAACATTCACATTTTAATAGAACACTCTGTTTAGGGTATCCCTGACACACACACACATCATTATCCTGTCAACAATCCTGAACAACTTGCCTGAACAACCTTTCACACTGACTGCCATCATCCCTTATCATCATCCCTCGACAACAAGTTGTTATTTTCAAGATCGAAGATTCGAGAACCAGAGCTGATTTAAGGTAAGAGATTTTTATTTATTTATTTATTTGTAGCAAATTGATTGTATCAGCGTGACATTAACACTAGAGCTTCCCTTTTTTTTTTGTCTTTGGCAACTTCAAAGGATAGGTATCTTTGGTAAAATTAATTTCAATTTTCATTGATGTTCCTATCCTAATTTTTATCTTTAATCGATTTAATTGAAATGATCGATGTATATATATATTTATATTTATATGTATATGTAGAGTTGTTCTAGTGTTAAATATATACACTATGGACAAATTAGTAAAACTTACAATACTAATTTCCAATATCGAAAATGTTGCTTGAGAAACATGAATTAGATTTTGCTTTTGGTGGATAATTATTTTGATAAATATTATAATGTGTCGTTGACAATTGAAAGGGGAAGAACAGCTACTTAAAAATATCTACAGACTTTTAATCACGCGTTTATTTAATTGTACATAATACTGGGATATGTAGATTGTCTTTCTCGAATTGCACAACGAGTCAAAGTTTCGAGATAGATTCCTTTGTCTAATCTCTATATCTTTCTTTTATCACATCGAAAGCCCTGTAGAATTTCTCTCCGTTTCCTCGCGTTTGTTCTAAAATGTATTTTACGCGTTGCGTTCGTGTATGTACATGTTGTTGAAGTTTCGTGTAGCATTGCCGCGCGACAGGATGATGAGACGTACCGGAAGAAAGATCAAATGAAACGGGACGGCTTCGTACGTCGATCGTTTATTTAACCAACGAACAAGAATGAAAGTTACGTCGCTTCTGAATCGTTCGAATTTCCTAAAAGATGCGTGCGAACGGTCAACTTACGGGCAACAAAGACGTGGACTGTGAAAAGTTTCCGTTTCGATTCGAAGACTCGAATATAGATTTCACGATAGATCGAAAGCAATTCGTTGGCTGGTAGAACAGGCTTCGTTGATCATCTCTTCGAACGCTATGCGAACGTAATTTCACTGTGAAACGCGGTTCTATGTTGAAACACATGCTGTAAAAAAATGCAAGACCAGGCGTTCCTACAGATATGTCACACCGCGAATATTGCTAAAGATTTTCTACTGAAGATCTTCCGAATTTCCCCGACTTCCATTCTTGTAATTTCCTTCCGACTCGGACAGAATCGTCGGTCGTTGTCCTTAAGTGATGGAGCATTTGTGACATCGCTGTTTGTTCAATTTCGTCTTCCCTTCTTTCTCTTGATCCATGTGCTTTCGTACGGATTCTGCAATTATTATTTCAACGATAGTTTCCTCTCTATTTTTACGCCTTTCTCGGCGGAGAATGTATATTGGTAATTTTTCGATTTGACGTTTTACCAGCGACGGAATTTTTGTCCACCGCGGATAGCGCGTCGCAAAGTTCTTTCCCCACGGAGATCTCGGGACTTAATCCTGATGCCCAGATCATCAGCATTCGAAAACCGTGCTCCTTGTAACTCGAGGGACCTAGAAGAGGAGCTTTATCGTCCTTTTCATAAGGCTGTTCTCGAATTTACGGAGGGAATATCGAGGAACAAAATTATTTTAACCCTTGGGTCGTATCTGCCTAATTTAATCAGAGTTGAAAATAAAAAATGAATGTATACGAGTCAGTCGTACACTCCGAGGATTGAAAATTACAGTTTACCGACAAATTTTTTAATAGCTCTTGACATTTAAAAACCAATGTATATCGTTGTATTCTTTATAAAATTTATCTACTAATCGGTTAGATCCAAGTAAGAAATGAGAACTTTGTACCTCGACGACTACTTGCAATCTCGCATGTTTCAATCTGAAATTCTCTCGTGTATGAAATAATTATTTTACCAGTGTATTGGTGCTCGATTGCTTGAATCTGATCGTACGTGAACGCCCAATGTAACGCCAATTTCTTCCAATCTTCGGGTCCCAATTGTTTGTACGCCAACTTCCACAAAATCGATCGAATGTATTCCGAAAGAGCGCCATTGTTACTGGAGATACTTCCACCCCCCGAGCCTTCTCGCCATCTTCTCCTAGCTGGCGTGAGATCCCGAGTTTCTTTGTCAGATGTCGAATCCTCCTAAAGAAAAGAAAAGAAAAAGATACTTTTATAGGTTAGGTCAGAGAAAGATCTAGTTGAGCAAAAGGAAAAGTCGATTTTTTTGTCTCAATAATAACAGTCTTAAAATATCAAGCAAATGCTCGAAATTTTCTGTTACGATCACACGTAAGAAGCATTTCCTGAATGTTAGAAACGAGTAACACAAAAAATGACGTGTCAAACGAATCAACAACGCAATTGAAACGTTGAAAGACTATAATTCAGTAATTTATTCTTATTGTTCGGTGAATTGTTGTTGCAAAAGCTTCGAGTTGTAAACGAATTAAGAAGCACGCATTACAGAAACCGTAATAAAAGGTTTCGATTACTTACCGGCGTCGGGTAGTCCAGTCTCGCAGTTTTAATTATCATGTCGACGATAGCTGTGAAACTGCCCCTCGCCGCAATGTAAAGTGGCGTTTTGCCACCCTGTGAACATCGAGACAACTTCCTATTAACCTTATTTTAACGAACTCTTCGTAGACTGTGGTGTCGTGTGCTAAGTTGACTCTCGAATTGAGGAATACCATGCACGTCAGCCTGCTCGTGTAAACTTTGAAGGTAGTCTTGTTGACTGTGTCAGCTCGTCACATTCGTGTTAAACCGGGGTTAACATACTCCACACAAAGAGACGCCTATTTTGATTACGTTCGATCGACGTGGAATGTCGTTGCGAGAAATTTTTTTCCTCGGTGGATTCATATTGCAAACGAAGGTTTCACCCTTGAACCAAGGGAGAGTCTTGAAAGGTTCTAGAATAATTCTGGAAGCCAGAATGTTCGACAGGTTGGCCCGTTTTTATAAAATATCATTTGACAAGATCAGATGAATGATCGTCATTATATAAATAACATCAAGATAATTATAAAAATTATATTATTAGAAAAGCTAAAGTATTCAATCTCGCAATTCAAAAATTTCGAATTTCCCGAGGATTTCGGGAAAAGTGTAAAAAAAATTCCTCCTATTGCAAATCTATTGCGTGATTTTTGGCCAGTAATCGACCGAGTATCCTAGTCATTACAACACGTCGAGGACTAGTTCAGTGTTCGCGGTTGGAGGATAGCAAAACCGCGATACGTACGTATAACTGGCTAAGTTTCCCACGTAACGTAGATTTCACCAGTACTACAGTTATAACTAGTTCGGAAGTTTGTGGTCGATGGATATAGACCGGCGCGCGAAGGTATTTGCATACTTGCCATGGTAAAGTTTCGTGTCCATATGGGGTGTGTTGCATAACGTACCGCCAACGACTGTCACGATCATATTATATTACTAAAATTTCAAATCGTGCGTGAACTACGTCAAATCAATGCAACGCTTAATCGAATCGCACATAACAATTTGTATTAATAGTCGGTCATAATAATCGTATCAGCGTCGGAGTAATTATTTTACGATGTAATGCATACTCGAGTTTACTTTACAAATAACAAATGGAGTTTCAAACTCGACCGCGACAGTCGAGGCAGGGTAGCAGTTTCCAACTGGAAATCCCGAGCTACCTTGTACAAGGTAACGCATATACATTGTTAAAAGACAAATAGAAAAGGGCGAAACTACGAAGAGCAGATAATAGGATCGTTGGTTTACCTGTTCCCGTTGCTCGATATTCGCACCTGCCGCCAGCAAGAGCTCGCATATATCCGTGTGTCCCATTTCCGCGGCAATGTGAATCGGTGACTGTAATCTCTGCAACAGAATCGGATCGGATCGGATCGGATCGGTGTCGTGGACGAACGAGTGAAAAAAGCGCGAGACGATTGATACGCACCGAATTCAAGCAGTTGAGATCGACGCCTTTATTGATCAGTATCTCGACCGTTTCAACCTCGTTGTTTTGACAGGCCAAGTGCAAAGGCGTGTTCCCGTACTGCAAAGCGATTCGCCGAATGATGGATAGTTATTCGATGTCGATTGCACGTACCTTAAGTGTGTACCTTGCATTGTTTGTTGAGTGCGGCGCCGTGTTGAATCATCGAGTCTAGTATCCCTTTGCAACCCTGACTGGCAGCCACGTGAAGCGGAGTGAAGCCCATCTGAAAAGAAAGACGATCAAACTAGCGCGCGGGTCCTGTTGGCTGATTGGCGAAAGACGAAGTTGAAAATGTTATTTACCTCGTCGGTTAATTCCGTGTTCGCCCCGGTTCTTAACAGCAATTGAGCTATAGCCGTGTGCCTCGTTCTCGTGGCCACGTGAAGGGGTGTGTTTTCCTCGCTGTCTTGGGCGTCCACGTTCGCTCCCAGTCCTATTAAAACTTCCACCGCTTCTAGATGCTCCTGCGTGCAGGCATAGTGCACCGGCGTCTGGCCTTTCTATGAATCGACGAAAAAAATATTTTTAACCCCTTCGCATTTTTTAACATTGTGCGTTTCATTCGACAATTTTACTTTCGCAAAACAACGAGCGTGTTTACTGCAATTTTGGTGGATTTTAAATCTAAACACGTCAGGAAGAATGGAAATAATTTTTCTATGGATCAGAATTCGAAATCCCGAGAGGATTAAACGATGATGCTTTCTATGTAAAGTATAATCAGTAAATTATTGGTATTACACTGTCGATGAAACTGGCGCGAAAGGAGTAAATAGATATTTCACGAAAATCACTTGGAATATTTTCTGTTTCGAGAAGATCAGAAGAAGTTGTTCGGAATTTAAAGGGAAACGTAATGTAAAGGACGAAATTACCGAATAGCTGGAAGCGGAAAGCCGGAAGCAGCGTCAAAACGATGCGAATTTCATAAAATTCTCTCAAAGGACCGCAGTTAAATTCACTTAGCTGTACCTTGCACTCTCTCCTTCGAGGATTTCATTTGTCTACGCGATAAGAAGGCAATATAGCTAATGTTGGAGACCTAGTTTTCCTGGTATCTAAATCGGGAGAGAGAGAGAGAGAAGGCCCACCGTATAAATTGAAGTTTCTTGCGTCCTTTGCATTTGGTTTTCGTATGCAGATATTTATATTACCGCATCAATTCAGAGCGGATTAATATCTTCGAGTTGAGTAAACTGCATCCACGTGCTTTTCAATTCGTCGTTGAGAAACAAGTTACAACCTACAAGCTTCGCTCGTGAAATTTAAAGCGAACCCAAGATACATCGCAACGAAGCGGAGATACAACGAACATTCGAAATCTTCGAACGCCTCGATACGTCAAATCAATCGTTGAATTCAAGTAAATTTTGCTCGAACTCGGAATCGCAACTTCGTATTCAAGTTGAATTATAATAATTTCAGCGGAGAGTTGACGAGTTCAGTTCGATCGAGAGAACAACGACAACGTAGTTCTCGATTTTCAATTCCAATTGGAATTTCTGAATTCAGGGAATTCTCCGAGTTTCCAGAAAATAATAATTCTATCAGTTTTCGCCCTTATCAACTGCACTTCCACTTCCATTCACTTTTCTCCCAAATTACCGGGGAGGGGAAGCAACGAAAAATACACTTTCACGAGTGAAACGCTCTTACTTTATCCCTGGCGTTCAGTTCGATTCTTGGCACGTTGGCGAGCGCGGTTATCATAGTCGGGTGACCAGCGCTGGCCGCGTGATGAAGAGCGGTTGCACCGGTGCAGTCGGTTGCATCTCCGTTCAACGATTCCACTGCCTCCGCTAGGTACTCGACCACGTGAACGTTGTTGCCTTGAGCAGCGCACATTAAGAGAGTGTGTTGCTTCTGTGACAAACAGAATTAACTGTCGGTTACGCGCGCGCGTGTGTTTGTGAAACTACTCTCTCGAACGAATATCGTCGGTCTCGATTTACAGTAAATACGTAAATCTTTCATCGAACATTGTTCTCATTGAATCGAGCGAACTGGAACGCCCTTTTCGAAAACTACTCCTTTCCAACTAATTTCACGAGAACTTCCGATGATGAGATCACGTTCGAGACCTCTACCGTACGAAAGAATCTGAGAAACGAGAGGAGTCGTGACTCGTGAACCGATGCTTGAAAGTGCCGACGTAACTTCGCGTCAGCTTCGATTCTCTCTTTTCGCTAATTCTGTCGAATCTCACAGGTGTTTCTTTTTCTGTTTAACGTTAATCGATAATTACGTAATTATGGGCACGCACCTTGTTTACAGCCGACACGCTTGCCCCGGCGTTGATTAGCATTTTCACAGCGTCCCTGTGCCCATAACGCGCCGCCATGTGTAACGGACGCATGCCGAACTTGAAACACAGCAAACAGAATTTAATTACATTATGTTGAGTTTGTATGAAATCTATATGGCGTTTGCTCGCGTCAGTCAAATTGATACGAATTTCGCTCGAACGTGGCAAACGCGCAAACGCGGACGATGGAAAATTGAAAAATAATTAACAGACGAACGAGTTGGGAATGTCCTGGCAGTTATCTGATTTTCTTTGATTGCATATTTGAACGGTATAAATATATATTCAACGAAAATGTGTCACCTTGTCTTTGGCCTCGATGTCGCATTTTGCCTGTATCAACATCTCGATGATCTCCGTGTTCCCCCTGGACGCTGCCCAGTGAATCGGCGCACGACCATACTAAACAATCATCATTTTGTCTCAGTTGATGTTGAATTACCACGTATTTTCCTCTTGTTCATCTCTCTTGCGAATAATTTAATATTACGTGGACAAATATAACCAACTACCAAATAGTATATAGACAAATCAGATTAATTTACGTTGCATTGCTTAAACTTATGAAGTGTTAGTTTATTTCGTATGAAATTCCAAAATTGAACCGAATTCTAGATTGTATGAATTTCTAGTATGCTTGATAATTAATTTCCACGTGTTAGAAATTCCCTTCCCCTTTAAACGGCCGAGAGAAAGAAGTAGCACAATCAAGTGAAATAGTCCGTGTTCAGCCAGGCGTCCGACTCGAATTAAAATTCCTTTGGATTAATATCAAACTCAGACAGATGGAACATGGTTGAACGGCGTCGACGATTTCAGGCAAATGGTAAATTTTCTTAATTAAATTTGCCGATGTTTCGCTAATGGAGCCTCGAGTAGTAATGCCACGTATGTAGTCAGACGCTCGCCACTCGCGTCTACACGAGGTTGCTGCAACCGCATCGTGTTATCCGCCGCTTTCGAAATACGTTTTCCACGGCATTAGCGTTAATGAAGCGGCGCAAAACGGAAGATTCTATTTTCAACCGTAACGTTTCCCGTCCCCGATTCCCGGAAATTTGATTTTTCTATCGGAAACTGAATCAACATTAACCACAATTCCGATTATTCCGTTCTCTCTCTTTCTCTCGCCCGTTTCTCCTTGTTTTGCGTAGTTTTCATTCTATTCTATCGCTCTGTCTGGCTCTGTATGACTTACATTGTTCCTGGAATTGACGTCCACTGTCTCTTTGAGCACTTTGCGAACAGTATCCGCTTCATTTTTTATCACAGCTTCGTATAATAGAAGATCGTTCCTAAGTACTAAGCAAACAAGAAATTGTTTGTTAAAAGTATTGAAAATAATAAGTGTGTTTCTTTGGAACCTTTCAGTTGTATGTTAGTTTATGTTTCGGGCTATTCAGAAAATTCAGAGGAAATTTAAAAAAAATCTCAGTCGTGAGATAAAACAAGAAGAAAAGAAATGAAAATCAGTGGAGGAAAAGTCGAAATTAACGAAATAAATGGTATGTTGTTTCTACCGCGATAGATTGATCAGAAAAATTTGCAAGTGAAACGTTAATTGAACATCGGTCCCTAATGTGTTTGTTCTTTTCAAGAAAGAATCGTCGCATTGTTGTTTGATGAAAAATTCAACATTTCATTGTTTCCTTATTTCGATTCGCTGAACTTTCCCGAACGAACCTCTTTCACATCATTTTCCTTCAGAGAAAAGTTTCTAAAAATCGTTGTTTCCCAGAATCAGAAGCAGGTAAAGAAAGTGTAAGAAAGTTTTCTAATTTGTTTTGTTTGTTTAATCGAGACGAAGCTGCAGGAGATGAAAAGATGAGAGACTGAAGTTTCTTTTTTATTTATTTTCAGATTCCGTTCCGATCCGGACGGAAAGTTAACGCGGATAGTTTCTCGAAAATAACAGTTTCCGGCTTTCTCTGATACTTACTCCTAGCAGTCTTTTGATTCAATACCTCGCCCTCGATCGCGTCGTTGATATTGAGCGGCGAGGGCGTCTTCGTTATTTCCTCTTTGTCCACCATTTTTCGTTGCCTTGCGCGTCTCTTCGCTCTCTACATATTGACTCTTGATCGCCGGGCTTATTAAATCTGAAAATCCAAACTGAACGTGTATCGTTTCCCTCATTTCTTAATTACCTTTCAATTATTTTTCGTTCGGCTGAAACCATTTTACTTGGTATTGCGCAATCAAGCTTCGCGCGCGTCGATCATGCAAAATTATGCAAACGAAATCCTTCGTACTCGCTTTGTTTCGTTTCGCAATTTAAAAAAAAAAAAAAAAAGAAAAAAAGAAAAAGAAATAAATTCATTTGCATGGAATTGCGCAACGCTCTCTGGTTATTGGTTCGCTGATTTTACCACACGACACTCTGATCTTTCATTCCTCGTGTTTCATTTCACACGTTTTATTTATTTGTTGGTGCATCTGAGATTAATCTTTTTAAAATCCATCGATTACCAATCAACACACGGGCTGCAGATAGAATTGGAATTTTCTTAAAGGTAACAATCGCGAATTTATTATCAAATGGATCCAACATTTAGAAATCGTCGTGTAACTTTGAAAATAGAAAATGACTTATTTATAACAATCGTTAGTCCCCAAATTTTTAATCGGAGCGAACGTGTAGCCGGTCTCTCTTCTTTAAGCAAAGGAATCTCCAATTGTGAAGAGGTAAAAATCGGCGTGTGAGAATTAACGGTGAAATTTTCATTCGTGTTCGCGATTCGAGTGTATCTTCGTAGCGCTTGATCCTCGACTGGAAACACCTGTTAGCGAGTCATGGTCGTTCTATGAATATCATTGTGGTACCTCTCGTTGGCGTAATTTCGAAATTGAGCGGCGGATCCTCTACATAATAACGACGTTAATTCTGGCTAGCGAGCCAAGTCATCGATGCAAATTGCTAAATACATACGGGTAGTCCTTCGGGTAGCATGCTAGCAAGCGAGACCGCAAGTATGCGTATAATTATTTCATTTGTGCAACCGTCTAGCAACCTTGCAGGCACGCCGCGATTTTGATACGAAATACAACCAGCGAGATACTATTAATTGCGCATCCGCTCGAGTCCCTCTCGCTCCGGGTTTCGTGAATTAACACTTTGACTTGGTTAGAAGCGGCGTGTCACGTCGATTCCTCTCTCGGCTATAAATACTTTCGAATGATCAGAATAAGACAGAGTGTCATCGACAGAAGAATTTCAAGTGACGTAAATAACTGGATGACTATTCACTTCCACTGCACGCTGTATTTTGTCGAAATTTCCCCGTGGTAGCGAAATTAGTGTTAACACTAGAACAACCGACGGCAAAAGCATAAAATTTGCACAAGCTTTCACTTATATATCTTACGAAGAATTCTAGTTTCTAAAAATACACTATATTATATCTACTAAAATATTTAATAGGAATTGTCAATTGGTCATTTTGACCATTTTGATAGTTCTAGCATTGATTAAAATGCGCATTTGTTTTACCAAATGCTTGTTCACTCATCTGTTTTCCCAAAGTTTTGTCGATCAAAGTAACAACGCGTCGCATAGTGAGATATTCGACCGATCTAGCTGGCCAAAACTACGTAATGACAGAATGAATTGTTCATATTGATGCAGGAGACATTGATGCTTGAATTTTCGAAAGTGTCTCATAATTCGAAAATTGCCTGTGAATTTTAACATTCCGAGGAATTTCGGAATTCTTCGAGAATCTTTGGGGAATGGTCGGAAGGTATAAAAAGATTCCAGCTGCCTAACTTTTGGCCAGTTAGAACGGTGCGTTGGTCATAGTCGAAAGTTACGCTCGTCTGGTCATTGGTACGATCGACCAAGTGCTTGTTCGGTCGGCGAAATAGAGAAAAATTCAAAATATTTCAAAGACTCCATGCGCCAGTAGTACGACGCTTTATTTCATACGCATGGCGTTCATACGTTTCACTGACGTTCGAAGAATACACGTGCTTTTTCTTTCAACGAGCAGCCGTTTCAACGTTATCCACCCAACAATGCGTATCCTTCTGTTTCGTATTTCTTCTGAGAACCATCCATGTGGATTTCGTGAAATACAATCCACGCAGGGCGCTCGCGTTGCAAACGTCGAGAGGCAAATCCGTGGCACGAGAGATACCGAGAGGAGGGAAATACGTCCTTTGAAAATGTATAAATATAAAACATCCCTCTCACGGATGAACGCAGGTTTTGTCCGTTCTGTTTCGCGCTGGCTGCGAACTGCATCGGATTAGTCTCGCGAGGGCAGAGAGAGAATACCGTGACCGTCGGAAGTTCTCGGTCGCACAGTAACCATTCTATTTCAATTTAAAATTGCAAATTAATACCGCTGCAACTGTCGCAATGGTCAAAGCATCGGTGCACCTCGTAGCAATTCTTCTTTTTTTTTTCAACAGAAATATCAGTGGCAAATTTTTCACAGAAATTTTGGAAATTTTGGAAATTTACAGCAGGCTGTATTTTTGGAAATACGACTGACACTTTCCTGTTCCTTGCACGTCTTTGTCTCTCCTTTGAAAAGTTGAAAGCGTACGTTTTTAAGTTGCCTGCATTTCAGTACATTTCTGCAACATTGTATCATACGTGTTATATTTTTTATTTCAATGATGGAATAAAATTGTTCTTTGGCAATATTTGTCGATAGCTTTTGACAGCCGGGATATATGTAAAAACACACACATATTTTTCTTTTTGTTTTTGTTTTTCTTTTTTACGCGATTTATTTGTTTTCCGCGGATAGAGCACATGCCTTAATCACAGTCAGTAACACGCAGATGTTAAAATGTTAAACGAGTCGCAGAGAGGCGAGCAGAAAAATGAAACCTCCTCGACTGAAAGTTCCAAACCGTGACACTTATGAAAATATACCTGCAGCCGGCGCGTCAGTTGTTGAAAGTGCAGGGACGTTCTGTCAACTGTTTCTGAGAAACGAATTCACTGCGCTGAGAAAGTTTTAATAAGGATCTCTTCCCCGTTTTCGACGGCAGACGGTTTGCACGGTTTAAAAAATGTCGCGCGACAGTAAGAGCCGGAATGTTCCACAGAAAATTGACGATCACAGCAGAGCGAAGTTGAATCAGTTGGAAATAGTTCTCCAACTCTATTCTGCCTGTCGCCTGAGAGAATTATTCGAAACGAATGCAATGAGAATGTATAACACGCGATTCTTTAAGACGTCTTTTAAATATTTTCACTTCGATAGAAAATTCCTCTCGGATGGAACAGTCGCTACTGTCGTAAAAACGTTTGTCATTCCAGTCGCGAATGCACTCTGATAAATCATCGTGTTTCAATCCCCAGCCTGAACCGTTTAATTTTTGCGATACTCGCCACATTGGTAGCAAATTTTCTGAAATAAAGCGTTCGTTATTCGAGACACGAGCGAGCTGATCAATTGGATTCTGACGAACGATGATCGCGACATAGCTCTCATTGCGAACGTGACTCTGTACTCCACGTTGGTTACATCGTTGAAATTCAATCGAACGTTGACTCTCTATATGTCGCCGATTCATCGCCACCGCGATCGTTCGAACCTTTTGAAATTGGAGGCCACGTTCATTCGCGGATATTCATATTATTTGTATTGGGAGATATTTCACTTTTAAGGGAAGGTCAACGAAGATTCATCTCCTAAACCCACACGCTCTCATTAGTTGTTAATGACGCGAGTTTCGAACAACCTTGCTCGGTCAAATTACAAACGGGAACGCAACGTGGGAAGATAATCTGCTGAACGTATTGTTATGGCAGTGATTAAGCAACTAATCGCTGTGTCGATTCCTCTCGGGTTATTTTGCCAGTCAGTCGACTGTCAACTGGAAAGACGAACGTACTTCCGGTCGATTCGCAAATAACTAAAACGGCACGTTGGGGAATAGTCTCGACAGGATAATCCCGGGAATTAGAATATTTTTCTACCGTTTAAACGCGGTTTCCAGCTGGCTTGACTGAAATATTAGATTTCGCTGGGCAATGAACCGTTTCCGAGAGGTTGAACGTCGAAGGAATACATGAATCTCTTCAAATATTTCGGTGTATTTTATGCGTTCGACCGAATGGCCGATTCAGAATTTATCTCGAAATTTAACTGAAACTGCTGCTAAGTGTCATACATTAATATTTCGTCAAATTCAGCAGGATTAGTGTGAAATAATTTCTAAAAAAAAACCTGCCGTTCGTGTGAAATAATTCGGATTCGAGAGATACGAAAAATGGGTCAAAAATTGCCAAGAATGATTGACTAAAAATTTTAAAACCGTAATAATTGTAAAATCGTTTTACAATTGTCCGAAGTATGTTCATTCTATCGAGTAAATTGGATTGATATTATTTTCAATAAAAAAGAAAGGTTATCAACGCTGAAACTTTTTGCCAAAAAGTTTTTAATAACGGTCCGGCTAAAAATCGATAAAACACGTCGTGAAAAAGAGATGAATATTTGAGCAGTTGGCGCAATACAAAGGCAACGAAATTTTAATTAAAAGAGCGTGCATTTCTTTTCTCAAACTGCTCTCTTATCGTGTCCCGCGAATTAAATAAATCACAGTGAAAAATTGCGGAGAGGGAGATAAGAACGATGGTAGAAGATAAAACACATTGTTCGCCACAATGCGTCTGACTAGTCGCGGTCCTTTTCTACTCGACGATCAACGCTCAAGATTTTTACCAAGTTTTCGGCTCGGTTTCTGTTCGGCGGTATTTTCGAGATAAATCGTGGACCATTTTCCACCAGTCGAGAGCAAGTATAATTGGCTCCTCGACGAAAATAACTGCGGTAGAAGAAATAATTTTTGGCCGAGCATAAATCACCGGAGCAGGTAGTCGATATCCTCCAATTAATGTGACCGGAAGCACGACGATCAATTAGACTGCTTTCATCCTCCGATGGTGAATTTTATCAGCATCGAGTCAAGCGTTTATCGCGTCGCTTTTGATCCTGCGTTGCGATAATCTGATGGCAGAGCTTTGTAATCCCTATTGAGCTCGCGCGTAGTCGACATCGTTATGGTATAAACATCCAGCCATTCAAGACCGCTACTATAATTCCGTTGTGGCAGTTTAATAAATAACGACCTCTCG